AAAACCTGCCAAGTTCAACCCAATAAAAAAGCAGACCCTTATGGCAATCAGTCAAGAGATTTTCCTAATATAATTATTAAAAAATATAATAAAGTTTAAGATATTACCAGCTCATCTACGTGATATAAAGAAGAATTTGATTTAAGTCTCAGCACATTTATGTTACCGCTGGACGATACATATTATACATCAACAATTAGAAAAATTTTGATCACGACCAATTAAGGAACATTGATTTAAGTACAAAGATCTGAAACCAAGACTAATATAGACCCCCACAGTAGTCACCTCACAATTCTCACAGTTGATAGTGCGATCAAGATAGATTTCATTAGCCTTAACTTTAATATTAATAAGGAAAACTTGTACCCCAAAGAACTTTTACCCACCAGCAGCTACTTGGAAGAAACTTTGCGAAATAAAGGCCTATCAGAAGAGCAAATAGGAAGAAAAAAATGTGAAGTCAAGAGATTTTAAGGATAATAATAGTAAAAATACATAACAATTATTTGAGAATCCCAAAATCACCGATCAAAAATAATTAAGCAACACCTTAAAGATACCATATCATCACGTCAAAACCCCGATCTCACGTTTTAACAACCAAGGTATACCAATAGTGTAGAAAGGGTATACTATACTACAGATAATATGAATGTGAGATAAAAACATCGAGCACACAAGCGAGTCAGACGGAACTAAGTCAGAAAACGAATTCCAGCCTTTCAGTATAAAGCTTATCTCCTTGAAAAATAATCATCAAAATAGTCTACAGGAAATAAACATTATTAAGAAACAAAATACTAGAGAGTTTTTAAGATTACTAGTAATTAAGAATTGGGTTACAAAACTCTGAAAAAATGAGCATCAATGTAATTATCAACGAGTTAAAGTTGGACGAAAATAAAAATATAATTTCTTAATATTTAATAAGATAAATAAAGACTACAACGTAAATTTTGAAAATTAAAAGTGAGCGACGTAAGAACTATAATTTTGAGCTTTACTTTACTTTTAATTTTACTTTTGAGCTTTGATTCAAATTTTACTAAATACAACGCGATAAATGGGATTTTAGATTTTCAAATGAATAAAATTCTCAATGCTAACTTAAGGAAGCGTTATATTATATATTGTTCGTAAATAAAAAAGATTTTATCCATTTAAAACTGACTCAATTACAACTCCACTTTTGTAAAGTAACTCTTGCACGTAAAAGGCGAAAAGCGTAATTTTGTTATTACGACGAGCGGAAATCCAACCGACACTTTGTAAACATCTCCTTAATATGTTGTGTTGTAAGGAAGCCTGAAGTCCATACACTTGGCAAAATAGAAACAAATCATTGTGGAGGTCTCCAATTGTATATAAAAATTAATATAGTGATAGATCAACGATTCCGAGGCAACTACGTCAATAGCTAGTATAATACCAAATTTGACTGTAAAAACACAAGTGTAAATCAGAATTTACAAGCCGTGATACAAAGTTTATAAATGAATGGACTCCACCATGTCCAATTTTTAAAACTATAGTGATTACTTATTATTTAATAAAAATTGTTACTTGCAACTTTAGTCAAACAATAACTGCCTTTAGTTCATATGTATAATACTTATATAAACGTAAGTGTTTAAATATTTTTAAAAAGTATAAATGTAAGTATTCACCCACTTGAAATTAGAAAATACGAAGTGCTTTCAGTAAAAGTAATAAGCCTCTATTAGAATAAGATCATATTACAACGGCGAGTAACCCTGGGCAAATGTGAGCCAATTGATCTAAAACTCACTACATTATATAAATTATTAGGAAATTTAGTCACCAATAACTCTAGTAAGAGATACCCAAACTGTCAACTACAAATAACAATAGTTTTCAAGCAACCGTTCATTTACTCATGGTTTTGTTCTCAGGTGTCAATTGGGATGCCTACTTCCCATTTAGGGATATGGGTATAACGTCGAGTAGCAGAGCACCATATCTTTTTTTTAAATAACTAACTCATTAAATATTTGTTTAAGTCAACACGCAGAAACATTATTTAATATTCATAGCAGTCAAAGCAGTGGTAAATCAAGCAACTCGGTAATTTTATGCAAATACGGTGCACGCTACTTGATGACACTTTATACGCTGGAAATAGTGGATCTTATACATAAGTAGTCAGGAATAGCAATAAAATCAAGTAAAAAAATCAGAACCGTCAATGACCTCCAGTGATCTTTTACTAGGTAAGCCGACTTTTACCATTCAAATTGGCACTGTCTTTATTTACCGAGATACATATGAGCACAATAATATCAGAACCATTCAATTGAGCAAACTCGGATGATCCGCAAAAAAAAAGATTTTTGCCCATGTAAAGAAAGACGGAAAGAGAAAAACAACACCAAAAACCTCTTTTCCTCTTTCTGACACGATAAGAGCTAGACATGGAAGAAGTGGCCCGCATGTGTGTCTTACAATTGAATGTCAAACACTTAGCCTAATCCTATTCGACTATGAGTCATTATAAAGCTACATACTTCTTCCATTAAATCTATGTGGCATCAATAACAGTGGATGAACTTTTTTTTTTAAAGCCACCCATATTTGCAAGAAAGTTCAGTTACCCATCAGATTTCTGTCTCTAGTGAATATGCTAGAGAACTAGAGCCATTCCTCTAATTGTATACCTTTTTAACTTAAAAAAAGTACTTCTTTAAATTTACTTTACTAAATATCTTACTCTAAAATCGTTAAGCGCAACTACCCAGTATGTAATTCTGGTACTCACGTGTAGCTGTAAAAACTGCCATTGGTCCGGGCAATACCGCTAACGTTAATGATAGCTAACGCGAGTTAAAACTCAAGCGTTTTTCTAAACAAATGTAAGTTGTGGCTACCAGGACTAAAAAAAACTTCATAGCCCTATAAGCCAATGACGTACACTTAAAGTGAGAAGCACGTGATACGGAGAAATTGCACACAGTTAAGATCAAGTAGCTGGAGTTCCTAGACCCCATGTGCTCACGAACAGACTTCCTTTTCATAACTGAACGCAAGCCGACGGACTCGACCTATACTGTTACTACCTCAAATCTCCAGGGCTTAGATCACGGGCTATAGGTTAAAAGCTTTGGCTGTAATCTAAGTACTAAGGCGTAACAGTAGCATAATTATACCAACTTTTATAATAATTATTACTGTCATCATTTTGCATCATCACAGTGATCTTTACAGTTGTTATTAATATCGCAATAGATATCAATATCTCTGTTAATGGTATGAATCTCATCATTATCATAATTTTGAATAGTTACCTTATTTCTTTCTATAATATCATCATAACTACTGCTGTTATCATCATCGTCATTATAAGTATTTTCATGAATATTATTATTATTATGACTATTATTATTACTATTAATATCATATCATTATCATAATTACTTTTGATATTTAAGTACTTCTTATTTTTATCATTATGATGATTATTCTGACTAGTCCTATGAATATAATTTTCATTCTTTTTATTTATATTGCTATGAATACTATCAACAGGTTATAAGTGATTTTCTAACTGTAACTATTATTCATATCATAATCATCGATTCCACTGTTGCCATGATTATAAATGTAACTATTTATATTATCTTTGTCGGTATTATTACTTTGATCATTATTACCGGAAACATCTTTACCAACATTATTATTGTTTTTGTTACAGTAGTCACTTTTTAACCTGAGCATCGTTATCGTTAATGTATTAAGCTTTATATTTTTACTGTTTCTATCATAATCGTTACTAAAAATGTCTCTAAGATCTTCATAATCTAGAGCAGTTTCTTTATCATCCGTATTAATATCAGTTTTGTCATAAATTGTATTATAATCAATTTTTAAGAAGCATAATCAATATTTTAATAAATATTTTAATTATTTATATGTAAATGCTTGTTGCAATTATCATCAACTAACCTATGACTATTGTTTTTAACAAATAATATTATATTAATTTTATCATCATTGACTCCATTACACAGGCCCAAAAAAAACAAAATGTCTGTGCGATTGACCAGCCCTATATAATTTTTATGTATTTATTAACGCTAAATCCAAATTTGCAATAAAAAAAAGGGTCCAGCTACTTATTTATGAGGTTTTGATCGAAAAATCTCATTTTTGACTGTTTTTTCATGGTTTTGTTTTAAATCATAAAAAAAGGAATTCATTTTTTTGACTCCAAAATCAAATTTGACAAAAAAAATTCATTAAAAACCATGTTAAAAATTTTTTTTTTAAAGATATTGTAACTTACCATTCGGCGATGAGAAGGCAGAAAATCGCAAAAAATGAGAAGTTGCTTCAGATTTGTAAAAAATAATATTAAAATCAAGTTTTACGATTTTTAACAAATTAATAAACATTTAAAAAACTTTGCTAGAGGTTTTTAAGGACGCTAATTACGAATTTTAAGTTACTTCTTTCAAAAAACAACCTCAAGTCTGCGCAAGTAGACAATAAACGTGATAAGTTCATATTTTTTTCAAAGAATCGACGTTTTGAATACTGTTCTGGAGCTTTTCCACTACATGAATCATAAAACTAGAACTTTTTTCGACTCTCGATCATTAAGTAAAACTCAGAATTTATGAATAGCGAAATTCATAAACTCCATTATAATATTTTTAGCTTCTTTTACAACCTTAAAGTTTTAATGGGTTAATTCATTCAGTTTGTAGAATTTTCGCTAATACTTCGCAAGTTTGATAGTGAGTTGTTGGACACTAGATATTGGCAATATCTTTTTTTATTTTTGTCTTCTAAAAAAATATTTTAAACGAAGTTCTGAGGTGTTATACACTTATGCACACATCTCTCGTCAAATGACTGGCGTAAAGAATCTCTGACACGCTTTTGACCTCTTTTAGAAGACGTTTCTCTCTTTATTACCCAGCAGTTATCTGTCAACATATTTGTACTCCATCGTCCTTGAAATCTGCGTTAAAATTTCTTCAAGTCTTGGTGAAACCTTTCTCCTTGCTCTTCAGTAAAGTCCCGTTGTTCTTAGGAAATTAGTTGATATGTGAATCAAGAAAATGAATCTTCAAGTTTATTAGGCAGCCCAGTTTTTCAAAGTTGCGTACCAGATTTTTTACAATAATTTTGTAGCTTACTTCTTTAGTGTTACCCAAAAATTTTGTTAATACATCTTTAAAACAAGACCATGCTGCTTTCTTATTATCTTTTATAGTTCTTTCAAAGATTTCATCTTTAAATAGAGAACAAGTTTCAGGTCTATCAAAAATACCTGCACTTAGTTTACTATCTGTATTGTGGTAAAATACTCAACTCAAATATTAGTAGCGCTCTCCATCTTCGTCTTATGCCTTGAAAAATTGTTTTGTTAAATCAAGCTCTATGTGAAGAGATGATATAAAAATTTTAGACAAATTCACAAGTGGCTCTTTTACAATATTTTGTTTTCCAGGTTCAAATGACTCTTTAGTGGCCAAATTTTTTTTTTGTAGTGGTTTCCTCTATCTCTACTATTAAATACACAAAAAAAACAAGGATATTTTGTATATCCAGATTGTTGTCCTAGTATCATAGATAAAATTTTTAAGTCTTCAGATATCTGCCATTTGTGTTCCTCATTTTTTATTTTTGACAAAACCAACTTAGTGTTTGAATACTCTTCTTTAACCACAGTTGAATGCGATTATGGTATAGAAGTGTACTTGTTTGTTTTATAAAGAAGGACTGCGTTAAGGCTCCGCTTCGACGAATCAATGAACAGGTGCCAATCCTCAGGTTTGTATGTACCAGGTTTTTATTCGTCGATAAGTCCTTTTACGTGAATGCAGTAAACTAGCCCTGAATCTTTTTAAAAATATGTTAGAAAGTTTTTCTTTTGGTCTCGGTGTTCACTTGCTTTAGTTGCCTTTGTCAGCATATTTTGCTTTTTAAAGTCTGAAGGCATCAACTAAGATTGCTCTTAAGATATGCCAGCCTTTCTAAATAAATCATTCAGACTCTTCTGATCATACTTTTTCACAGATTTCTGCAAACCTTTGGGTACATATTCTTTATTGATTGCTAAAAAAATGGCATTTTTTAATAAACAAAAGTGTATGACTTACATTCAAACAAAGAAGTTTATTATTCTTCTTTTCAAACTGTCAAATTTTTTGGTAAAGACTTATAAAAGGATTAAAAAACAAATAATAGCGAGATAATTTTACAACAGGTTTAAAAGCTTTGTATTCAAAAATTAGATTAAAGATCATCTGAAGATCCAAGCGAATCTATCAAAAGTAAAAAAAATCTCTCTTTAAATGATGATGGAGAATATGTACCCAAAAGTGTGGAGGAATCTGTAAAAAAATATTAAAATAGATTTATTGACAAATTACAACCAGGTATATACAAACCTGAGGATTGGCGCCTGTTCGTTAATTCGTCGATGTGGAGACTCAACGCAGTCCTTCTTTATTACACAAATAAGTACGCTCCTATACCATAAGCACATTTAATTGTGGTTAAAGAAGAGTATTTAAACACTAAGTTCGTTTTGTCAAAAATAAAAAAACGAGGAACATAAATGGCAAGTATGTAGGGACTTAAAAGTTTTATCTACGATACTAGGACAACAATCTGGATATACAAAATATCTGTGTTATTTGTTTGTATTTAATAGTAGAGATAGAGAGAACCACTACAAAAAAAATTTGGCCACTAAGAGTCATTTAAACCTGGAAAACAAAATATTGTGAAAGAGCCACTTGTGAATTCGTCCAAAATTTTAAAACCACCTCTTCACGTAAAGCTTGGTTTAATAAAACAATTTGTCGAAGCATAAGACGAAGATAGAGAACGCTACTAATATTTGAGCTAAGTATCTTACCAAAAAACAGATAGTAAACTAAGCACAGGTATTTTTGATGGACCTGAAATTCATACTTTATTTAGAGTATGAATATAATTCATATAATTGACCACTCAAACGGGTCACGTCAGGCAAGCATATTGCGAAATAATAACATCTAGCGCGTTGCCTGATGCGACCCGTTTGAGCAGTCAATTATTTTATTTGAACCTGATGAAGGCCTTGACAATTGTTTCTATATGGGTCGAAACTTAGTTCAATAATAAACAGAAGTTAGCAGTAGAACCATTTGAGTTCACTGATTATTTATTAATTTATCCACTGCTATTAGAGTACGCCTTATGCTCAAGACTTGAAGGAATTCGAACTTAGATTTCAAGTACGATGGAGTAAAAATATGTTGGCAGATTACTGCTGGGTAATGAAGAGAGAAACGTCTTCTAAAAGAGGTCAAAAGCGTGTCAGAAATCTTTTACGCTGGTCATTTCACAAGAAACGCGTGCGTGAGCGTAAAACACTTTAAAACTTTATTTGAAACTTTTTTCTGGAAGACAAAAATAAAAATAGATATCGCCAATATCTAGTATCCAACATCTCACTATTAAAGTTGCGAGGTATTAGCAAAAATTTTACAAATTCAATTAATTAACCCATTAGAACTCTAAGGCACTTTTTGAGAAAGGCTAAAAATATTATAATGGAGTTTATAAATATTGCTATACATAAGTTTTTAGTCTTACTTAATGATAAAGAGTCGAGAAATGGTCTAGTTTTGAGATTTATGTAGTAAAAAACCTATAGAACAGTTTCCAAATTATCATTTTTTTGAAAAAATTATTAATTTATCACGCTTACTGTTTACTTACGCCGACTAGGAGTAGTTTTTTGAAAAAAAAATACTTACATTTTGTAATCAGTGGCTTTAAAAACCCCCCAGTAAATTATTTTTAATGATTTTAAATCAGTTTTCAATCGTAAAACTTGGTTTCAATGTCATTTTAATCAAATTTGAAGCAAATTTTTAAGTTTTGTTATCTTCTGCCTCTTTATCGCTGTATGGTGGGTTAAAATTCCTTAAAAAAAAAAAGTTTAAAATAAGGTTTATTGTGTATTATTTTCTGTAGAATTTGATTCTGGAGTCAAAAAAATTAAATTTTTTTTAAAATTATTTTTATTTCTTATTTTTTGCACTTAAAGAAAAACTTAACTATATTAAAAATTGTAAAAAAATGTAAAAAAATGTAATTGATGTAACAGGCTTTGTACATTAACGAAAGTTAATCTTTTAACGCACTTTAAAAGATAAGACAAAACGGATACTTTTCTGAACACCCGAACTATGGCGACTAAGGATTCTGGAAACTAACGAGACAAAATCATGTCTGGCCACAAAAGCAGTAAACTAAACTAAACTTTAGAGTAACTTCTGGTTCTTACGCAAAAGAATCAACTTCACAATAGGTCGAGTATACATCGACAAGGCCGTTTCAACTTCTACCAATCTTGTCAGATTATCAGAACCGGGGAAAGTTTCAACTATTTAGCCTAATTGCTAAAGGCCCGGTGCAGTAATCTTTTTTTTAAATGGCACTAAATCGCCAATTTGCAAAGAACTTTAAAGCTTTAACCACTTAGCACAAGAATCAAGAGTGTTTAAATACTTATCCTGCTAACGCTTCCAAAACTGCTGAGTCAATTGCGAAACAATTTTCAGCGTGAGCTCAAAGGCAGCTTGTCATTATTATGGTCATGTTCCGGGATTAAAAACAATGATTGTTGAATCAAAAAATGAGAAGGTGTCAAGGCACAAAGATCTTTAGGGTCATCTGACAAGGGAGTCAATGGACGTTAATTCAAGCACGTCTTTACTTGACATAATAAAGTGGAATATTCTACGAACGTTAATACCTGCTCACCTGTAATTCTCTTCAAATGAAACTTACAAGACTTAACGGCCGCCTCCCATAATCCACCAAAATGGGGAGCAGAAGGGGTGTTGAAATGCCATTTTGTGTTAAGTTTTAGAAGTTCTTCTGAAAAAACTCTCAAACCCTTTAAACCTTTCCACAGCTGTCTCAATTCTCTCGAAGCTCCTACCAAATTACTTCCGTGGTCGCTATGAAGATTCGAACAGTAACCGCATCTGGCAGTAAACCGTTGAAATGCCGCAAGAAAGCTAGCACAAGTATAATCTTCTACAAACTCTAAATGTATGGTTTTCGTGCTCATACACACGAAGACCACAATATACCCTTTAAGAGTAATTTAGCCGCTACTTTTCGAGAGACGAACTTTGAAAGGACCGGCATAATCTGTCCCTGTTTTACGAAATGGAGGACTAGGGTTAACTCTTTCTTTTGGCAGATCTACCATTGTTTCGTGTAATGTAACTGAAAAGCATCTTTTACATGTAAAGCACTTCCCAATAAATGACCTAAGTGCCTGACATCCCTTAACAAGCCAAACATTTCTTCGAATGGTCATCAAAGTGATTTGAACACCCCCATGTAAAGTACGATCATGAGCTTACCCTATCAATAAACTAGGTAGGTGGTCCTGAAACTTCAAAACAAGTGGGTGTTTAGCATCTTCGTCAAAAAGAGAATGACTAAGGCGACCACCCACTCGTAGAAGACCATCCTGGAGGTATGGTTTAAGCCTTAAAAGACAGCTAGTAGCAGGAAGTGATTTATGTTCAATTAAAGGCTTATCTTAATTTCCTATGAGAATCTTCAACTCTGAACAAAAATTAAATTGCTGATAATAACAAATTTAAAAAAATCTAGCGTTATTCACCGCAAAAGTAGAAAGAACTACTTCTAATTTATTCTTCAAAAGGTCAAGATTCAAAAACTTTAATTCTGTATTAATTTTGTTTGGTTTCATGGCTTTACTATGTTCATTTCTCTAAGCTACTTTCTTGCGACAAAGAAATATAAATCTCATACAGTAAGCGGTAACATGCAGAAGCCTTTTAAAATAGGAATAATACGAATATAGATCCCAAGGTCCTCCAGCATCGAACTTCTCACAAGTCGTTGTAACTTGACTGAGTGCACTGTTGATGGTTTAAAACTAGATCAATTGCAATCAATAGGCCCTGAAACCATCCATCCTAACGGAGTTAAACTGGCAATAGGCTGATTACAGGCAGACCTCCTAACGTCCTTTTTTATTATTGGAGCATAAATTGCAGAATCTAGCAAAAGATTAATTTTATGATTTTCCAGAAAATTAGGATCCGCTAAAACTAATCCTTCCAAGTGAGACAAGCCAACAGATGAACACCCACGAGGAGGTTGATACAAAGAAACTTTGGGGAGCGCTAAAGCCGAAACCTGACACTCAAAACTTTTACCGAATTTAGACTCAATCTGGAAACTGACTTCCTTCCTAGTACTGACCTTCAAGTCTCCGCCTACTTTTGTTATTCAAAAATTTACCTTACTTTGTTAAACCTAACAAGTCATTCAACGATTGTGGAATCAATAAACATTGTAAACATTGGCTAATTGAAGCTTGAATCAGATATTTTACTCCACTGGGACCATTATCATCAACTAAAACAGTAGGGAGTAACCGACCAACTGAATTCGTCTCTATCGCTTTGACCTCCTTGCATACTTAAAGGTAACTGGTAGTTATCTCTGTCTTGGTTTCAGTTTTGCTTTCAGGACTGCTACGAGTATTAGGACCAAAACTATCAAAGTGTAGCAGCGTATGATACTTCTTTTTACACTTCGTGCAAGTCACCGCAGATTTAAAATCTTTGATTTCTTGTTTACCTAGACAATTAAAACAATGCAACTTTTTAAAAACTATATCCTTTTTTTCTTGATAAGTCTTACTTAGAAAACTACTACACTTTGATAGAGGATGATTCTTTCCACAGCAAGTATACTCCTGAAAGCTAACAGTTTCACACACATGGTGAGAAGAAAATATTCTCTTGTTAGCAACTACCCTTTTACTATCTTCACTAGGTTTCTCCTGATACGATTCAAGAGTCACCACTTGAGTGTTGAGAAAAGTTCGTTATTTAGCAAGACTAGGAGGGTCGTGACTATCGCCTAAATGTTTTTGCCAGTCCTTTTTCATTGAAAGATTAAATTTACTGATTGCCAGAGCCACTATAACATCTCCATCGCCAAACCCTCTACTTAAAGCCTCTAAGGCGTCTAAGGGACCGAAAACGTCCTTAACTAACCTTTTCACCTTAAAAAAGGATTCAGCCTTAATCGGAGCTATTGTAAGCAATTGATTTGTATAATTATTCACTAGACGATGGAGGCTATCATAGAATGTAACGAGACTCTTCCAAGCTCTAATGTAATTATTCTCCGTCAAAGGTATATTTTTTTTATAAGGTCTTCCGCTTTGCCAGACACACGAGTTCTTAGGTAATAAAACTTAAGGATGCCTGGCATATTTTCTTTTCTATGTACCAGAGCGTAATATAAATCTCGGAAACTCTTCCAATTAGAATATCTACCATCGAACTTAGCTATTTCTAATTGAGGCAATGAAGAAGCATGTTCAACACTCCCCTGTTTAATCGGAGCTGGGGAAGGAGGGTCAGCTCTACGAGCAGTCTCACTAGAACTCAAACGAAACAAGAGGTCTTCAAACTCACCAAGTTAAGAATAGTATTTATATTTAGTCAGATCCATTAACGATGAAGGAAAATATGTATGCCCCAAATCAACATCCTTTGCTTTAATCACCCTATCATGATTTTTTTGAAAGACTTCAAAGTTCCCTTTTAATTGTTCTATCCTAAAAAGTGCTTGACTTTAATTTATTTTAGCTTGAACTAGTTTTCTAAAATTTTCATAAGACCGAGACATTTTGTCACTAATAGCAGTATACTGTTCACTACATTCATCCATTTTATGTTAATTAAACGAAATTTAAAAAAAAGCAAGGCAATCTATTACAAGAACTCAAGAAATAAGCAACCGAAGTTGTTTCTAAGGCTGACAGAATCTCTCAGTATAACGTATCACAAAGAAAATTAAACTCTAATAACCAATATTATAGATACAAAACTTATAACTAAATTCGCTATGTCTTTTACACTAAGTGCTGTTGAAGAACAATAGTAAAAAATATTAATCCTCCAAGTGAGGTTAACCTTGACTTGAACTGGAAAGCTTAAATTTAATCAAATACGCGTGACCTTCAAGACAGCAGCAGTTGTAGCTACCCTGGTACGAGGTTGAGAGCGCCGACGGTCCATGCCAAAATAATCTTCCAGTGCCCGCAGCCGTTGTAGAGTGACTGCTGAGAGATTGCGAGCACCGACAGTCCGCAGGAAGGTGATCGTCGAGAGCCAGCAGCAGGTGTAGAGCGCCTGTCAAGAGGTTGCGAGCACCAACGGTTCGCAGCGAGGCGATCATCGAGTGCCCGCAGCAGGTGTAGAGCGCCTGCTGGAAGGTTGGAAACACTGAAGACCCACAGCACACACGGCCAGCGGAGACAGCATACAGCAAATCACCTTACCGTTGTCTACCAAACTTTCTTACCGCCCAAGTTATGGAGAAGAAGCACTTAATAAAAATTTTCTCCTAGTTTATGTACTGGTAATCTTCACACCAAAGAGGAGAAAACGGGCGACCTATTAGACATGTCGTCTAAAGGAAGAATTTTGCTGCTTAGTCGACTAACTGAATGCAGCCTAGAAGTCGATAAAAAGAAACAAAGAGAGAGAGAGAGAGAGAGAGAGAGAGAGAAAAATACGTTCTGCGCCGATGCGCAGACCGCGTCCACCTCGAATGGTGCTCTTTTTCCTTCTCTTCTCTACTCTTGACGAGAAGCAACCCAAAATGGCTTCCTATACTACCTTTTTCATGTGTCAAGAAGAAGCATACGTGCCTTACTAAGCCTGATGCTCGCTCATTTACCCAAGCTCGTATCCGGTTTGAAGGACCAAAATGTTTAAACTAAGCTTTCAGTGGACTGTATCATTTGAGCTGCCTTTAGCTTGGGAAGCTTATTTTGGTGGGGAGCAGGAAAATGCGAGAAAAAAAAGAATCACTATATCTTTTGCACTTAAAGAAAACTAAACTAGATTAAAAATTTTAAATGAATGTAACAAAATATAATTAAAGCAACAGGCTTTGTACATCAACAAAAGTTAATCTTTCAACGCGCCTTAAAAGATAAGAAAAAACTGATACTTTTCTTAATGCCTGAACCATGGCAACTAAGTATTTTTTAAACTAACGAGACCAAATCACGTCTGACAGCAAAAACAATAAGCTGCCTATGCGAGCGAGCTCCTGAGGCGGACTGACTGGAGTCGGAGCTCCTGTTGGTCTCGAGTTCAATACCAACGTTGAAAGGCTTTCTGATTGGTCGCTAGCTTTCTCGCTAGTAAGCTTACAATTGGTTCACTTTAAGGTAGCAGTCCAAATTAACGAGTAACCACTGCCACCTTAACTGGGAATTTTAAAAGGAAACAATTTAATCGCTCTATTAAGCACATTTCAAAATAAATCACTATAAATTTCGCACACACTTGTGCACTTACAACTTAAATATAAAGAGCAATTTAACTTTGCGATGACAATTCTAAGCACTAGTAGACTAAAAATTAGATAAGATTTTTTCATTCTATTTATTTTTATTACATTCATCAATTAAAAGCTTAAGATTTTTTAAATTATTTCTTGTTATTATTGGAATCAGCTTATCATAAGGTAAATATGAAATGTATTCATCTGATTGAATATAATTCAAAATCTGACGAATACAGTATTTATTATTATACTTCAGTTAGGAGTTAGTTGTTTTATATTATTTATTATTGATTAATTGAATAGATCTGCTGTAAATTTTATAGATCTTCTATGAAAAATCCTATTCACAAAGAACAAGTTTCTTTCAAAATTGTGGGAAAATAATTCTTATTCTTATGGAAACCTATTATTTTAACGAGTGCAAAGCATTAGGGAAAAAGGAAAAAAAGTTAATAAGACTTTTCTGAAGAGGTCTCAAAGAGAGAGTGAGCACGATAGCAGACGATCAATGGTTCCTTCTATTCAACTTACTACAACAGATTCTGCCAAAATGCTTTTTTAATCCCTTTTCTTATGAATTTTCCCTTGTTGAAACAAATGTAAAAATGATTGCTGACAGAAAATCTTCGCCTAACAGGCTAGTTTTTTAATACTTTGAGTATCTCAAATTGTTATTAAGGTAAAAGTAAAACGACCTTTATAACACAATTGACAAGGTCCCTGACTCCCAATCTGGGAGTATGATGTTCAATTTTTGGCGTCAGGAAAATCTTAATACCCTTATCACACATATGTATATTTTTCATGTTCACATATATAAGTGCTACTGTATGTATGTATATCATATGTTACGTAAATGAATAGATATGATATTCATATTTAAATATAGTCTTATCGCTTACATACGTAATAATATCCTTCTATATTATATAGTCCAATGTATGAGCCATTCTACAAATAACAATATTTGTTGCAAGAATATCTCTAGTACTATGCTGCTATTCCAGTTTTTTTGTTAGTTAAAAGATCATATTTCATTTATCTCTGTTAGGAACTGCTCTTGATTATTCACCACATACACACTAAAGCGCTTATGACGACCATTAGGAACTTATCTGAGAGGTATTTCTTATATTTTTTATGTGACTAT